ACCCCCTAGCCCCAAATATAATCCACTCTACAACCCTCATTGCATACTCCTACGATAAAAATAATGCCCTAAAATATAATACTTTTAGACTATTCTCTCAGAAGCACTGCCACATTCTTTTCCTTGAAGCAGCTGGGTAGTTTGAATCACCCACCTTTTAGTTAGCAGCGGCCAGTCGTTTAACCACTGCCAACACCAAGGGTCTTTAGGAGACAATAATCTATGACAAAATCAATTATGATCATTTTACTGAAGAGAGGGAAAGTTATTATTTTTTTCTGCGCTCTAACTTTTTTTAAATTGTAATTTTTAACAAAAGTATACAGAAACTTGGATTTCCAATTCATTCACTGTTACACATTTTCCTTCCTAGCCTCCATCCCGTTCACTTTTCTCTTTAAAAAATTCATTCATTGTTGCACAATTTCCCCTCCTCCCCCAGTCCACTCTGTTATAAACCTCCTATTCTGGATTGCTGTCACGCAAAAGAGTCTTTTAAAAATTGGAATGAGTAGGGTGTCAAAATCACAGGGCCCAACCAAATGGTAAGTTAAAAAAGAAGTAGGAAAAAATTTTTGGATTTTATTTAGTACTGACATACAAAAATGCCAGAGCAAGGGAGGAGCTCCCAATTAATTAAGAGTGAAGAGTAGCCAACTAGTAACCCTGTAGATTCTATATTCTAGAAATAGAAAGGACTCGAAGATAAGGAGTTGAGGTGGAAAACCAAATTCATGCAAAGGACATTTTGGGGAAGCAAAAGCAAGAGAAATGAGGAAAAGGGGCAAGAACAAAGAAATCAGTCCCTTGGAGAGACAACATGCCTGGTAAAGATCTTCAACCAAATGGACACAGTGGCTGCAAACAATGGGCTTAAGCAATAGCAGCAATTGTGAGGAAGGTGTAGGATCAGGCAGTATTTCAACAACTCAAAATCAGACAAAAAACCATAAAGAAAAGGAGATGTGGTGGCACTGTGGTCACAGCACCAGTCATTCCACAGGAGAAAGATGAAACAACCCCAAAAACTCTGTGAAACAGTTCTACTCTGTCCTAAACGGCTGTTTTGAGTCATATGCAAGTTGATGACAGTGATTTTGGATTTGGTTCAAAATAATGGCATATTTAGGACACTACACAGGATCGAAAGGAACTGGCAGACACAGAAGAATTTAATAAACAACATATGAGCAAGAGCCTATGGTGATGAAAGAAGTTCAGGGTGCTTTGAAGGAAATGGCAAAAAATAAGGCCCCAGGAATAGATGGTATACCAATTGACATATTTCAGCTAACAGATGCAGCCCAGGACATGCTCACCAAGTTGTGCCAAGAAATCTGGAGAACAACCACTTGGCCAACTGACTGAAAGGGATCTATATTTGTTCCCATACCAAAGAAAGGTGACCCAACAGAGTGTGGAAACTATAGAACAATCTCACTGATTTCACATGCAAGATTCTACTGAAGATTATCCAAAAACGACTGGAACAGCACATCAGCAGAGAACTGCCAGAAGTCCAGGCTGGGTTTAGAAGGGGCCATGGTACTAGGGATAT